TCTTGTATTCAAGGTGCTCACACTCTCAGGATGGAGTCAGGTATAAACTGTGTCCAAAACACAATATGCAATTAGACTAAGAGTATGAATAAAGTACCACGAATGCTAAGGAATAAATTGATTCATTCTGTGTGGTAGGGGTTCGGGGGGATGGACAGGTGGGGAGTTGGCATATCAGAAAGATTCCTGAAGAGTTTGTTGGACCAGGGTATCAATAAAAGGAAAACATGAAATTCTTGTTTCTTGTAGCCACATTGTAAACATTCTGAAAACATAACGAAGTGGGACAATGCTGTCCTTCTTTAATATCACCCTCTATTAGTTGGTTCACTTCTTTCTGACTCTCCATAACCCATACGTTGGGTAAATTTTTATATGTTGAGGACCCTGAGCATATCTGGACCTTGAAATTTCATTAAATAAAGCTTAACAGGTTGACTGAATGCCACAGTAATAAGGGATTGTTCATCACAATCATAGTCCAAGAAGGTAATGGCTTTTTGTAAATGGAGGGGACAGGAAGGGACACTGTGTGCAGAGAAAGAACACAGCCAACACACAGAGTGGTGTCTGTGAACACGCTGGGCCACAGAGGGGCCCCACAGAGCTGGTACCGAGTCTGGGAGAAGTGGTGAAAAATCAAATCAAATCAAGCCAGAGAGATAAACTTGACCTAGTTGTTAAGAGTCTTGTGGGTCATACTAAGTGATCTGAACTTTATCTGAGGGACATGGGGGCGTGTCCTGCACTGTAAGCTTTTCCCACGCAGGCCCACGATCTCACCCTTCCTGGAACCTGTTCACTTCCTGGTTAGCTTCCCGAGTTCAGTGTGTGTGCTTTCGATCTGGTAAGCCTGAGGTTTCATCCAGATGGCAGGACTTTTTTTTTTTCCATAGAGCTCTGAGAGGAAGAAAGACTAACATAGGTTTCTGCTCGTACCAGACCGAGTCCAGCCTGTTCAATAAAGCAGGCCCCGTGTCTCATACGGTGACATAAACCGCTGGGCTTGCCTGGCTCCCCGCCCTGGGAAACAGCGTTTTACCCACATGGGTCTAGTGAGCACTGTCAGCCTCAGGACGCCACGGCCGCAGTGGACACACACCTCACACTAGACCAGGCGCGGTCCTTTCCTGAGATGTTAAAAATTGGGACTAGGAAAGAGGGACAGTCCCTTGCTGACGTGAAATGGGAACCTAAGAGATTCTAGGCACCCATGCTTCCAGAAGGACAAACCAAGGACACCATCACCCAGAGAGGGGCAGATGCACGGTGTGGGGCTTCTGAGCCCCTGGTTCTCATGCTCCCGGGAGCCCCTGATATCCCCGCCCATCTGCCAGTATGGTTATAGACGGTTGACTTTCACCCTTTTTTGCCTGCACAGCTTTGAGTTTCTGTCACTTGCATCGAAGCGCTCACTAACATAAAGAATCCCTGCCAGGAGCCCCAGAGAAGCTGCGTGAAGGAGGCTGAGAGAGAGAAAAGGAGCAGCCCCCAAGACCCTGGAGCCGGCCCGGCGCTCACAGCTGGACCATGTTCCTCTCTTCCTGGCTGTAAACAACCTCCCAGAACCCCAACCGCAGGCAGGGTTACTCTGTCACTCTAAAATGAGACAGAGCGTAACCACTCCATAATTTCGTCTGCGTACAGACAAAAGCAAGGCCACTGTGCCACACTCAAAATACCATCAGTTCCCCTCTCTTGGCTAAGTAGCTGCTGTTTCTAGCAACTCCAAATTGAATCTTGTTAAGTCTCCCCTCCTTAGAGATAAGACTTATCGCGATGCCCAATGATAGTTTCTGCTTTCTGACAGCATCAGACCAAGAGGGAGACTCTGCTCTCTTGGGCTCTCCCCCAAGTCACCCGAGGAAAACCCAAACCTATATAATGGGCTCTTTCAAGCGCTTTCTTACTGAGACACCCCACAACGGGTGTCCTCTTTCACGTCCATGAGTAATAAACCCAACTCATTCAACTGCAGATGGGCTCCTGGTGGCCTTCGACTGGAAGACACTGACACTATTAAGGTATCCTTTTTTTGCTAAAAAAAAAAAAAAAGACTGTTTTTTTATGAAGCCATTTGTTTTCCAGAACTTCTGAAGGAGGCTTTATTTCAAAAAATAAAGTGGATGGAAGCTGGCAGAGGTGTTGCAAGAAACCAGCTGAGCTATGTCTATTTCAATCCTCAAACGCCTTGGAAGGTGTCGTGGATCCCACCATGAGCTGCCAAGATCTCCCCATTTGGGAGCCAGGCTCTTGTGTATCCAGAGTGGTAGCTTCTGCCGGCTCACAACTGGCTGCCAGGAAATTCTCGGAGACAACTGGAAAAGTCCCATGACGCTGTCCAATGTATCCAGTGGGTTGTTTGGTAAACTGGTAGGGAGAAAAGTCATGTGACAGAACCAGTTTCTCCTTTGGACAGAAGACGGGACAAAGCTAGAGAGCTGCAAGAGCTACGAATGGCTAACAGATCAGCTTACCTAGTGCCATTGGTAACTAATGATCAATAGACGGTCATGCTTTGTTATTTTAGTGCAAATTTATAATTTTGTAGGAAAAAAATAAGCGCTTCAAATCCCCTTTTGTTGTGTGAGAATAAGCCTGGCTGTTTGGACTATGGAATAATAAATCATACTCTTCTATTCAACTAGTTGTCCCAGAAGTCTAAGTCATAGATCCAAGGAGGGAATTTTATTATAATCTCTGGCTTTGCCAATCGAAACCCATGAAGTTAGAGTTTCAAAATACCTCACTCCCTAAGTTTAAATGCTCTCTGCAACACGGGTCCAACATTCCCACTGCCTGCCAACACCAAGTTCATGTCTCCCTCCCTACCTTCCATCTTACTATGCATTCTGCTATTACCACCCTCACTCACCAAACTCCTACCCACCTTTGGAAGATCTGATCTTCTTCCATGAAGCCCTCCCTGTCCAGATCGACCTTTGATAACCCCTTCCCACCCCCAACTGCTCTTGCTCCACGTTGTCATGTATCTCACATCCTTTGTACTCCATCCCATTGAGCTCAGCGTTAGCCACAAGCAGCTGCTCCATGAATACTATTAATTTGATAGCTTTATTAATATACAACTTACATACCATAAAATTTGCTTATTTTATGTACACGATTCAATGATTTTCAGTAAACCTATGTCACTATGCAATCATTAGCACAATCTAATTTTAGAATATTCCCATCACTCCCGAAAGATCTCTCATGCCCAGGTGCACTGACCCCCCACCCCCAATCCCTAGGCCTAGACAACCACTTGTCCACTTTCCTTCTCTACCGATTGCAAGAAATACATTTTAAGCACTTGATTTGGAGCCTCTGTACATTTTTCAATGCTCACCTTCACTTACTATTGATCTTTTACAAATAATCTAAGGTAGACATTCCAATAATTAGACATCATTAAATAAATAACATTGAATGCTCCCCTCCTCATGAACAAATTGATTGTATCTATTTACCACTTATTACAATCTAAAAGGTGTAACTTAGAGTTAAATACTTAGATTTATTTTAAATTCAATGTTGTTGATTCCCCTGGGTTTGGGTTTGAAAGTGAAAAACAGGAAGAAAGAGTTAGAGCGAACAGATTACATGATGGCAACCAAGCATGTCAATTCACTGGTGGAAATTAAACAGGTCAGACAAACAGCCTTTTCTGTACCTGCACGCCTTCTGTCTTGAACCTAAATCTCCTGAGGATAATTAGGAAGAACAGCCTGCAGAAGTTTCTTCCTGTGTAGGTCAAACACAAGTCAAGGTTTACACCTTTGCTTAGTTTTACATGTATTCAGTTCACCAGGTCATCCCTTGTGTTTTCTGACCTCTTGAATAGTAAGTAACTTTTAAAAGATTACAATGGAACTCAGCTTAAATTGCAGTCAATTTGATTGACTATCTCATAAGCAAATATAGAAGAGAATAAAAGCAGTTACTTTCTGCTCTTCTTTTCACAAATTGGTGATATTGATTGATTCATAATAGTTATTTAGAAATATTTTAATGAGGTTGAGAACATTGATATATTACCATGTGCATCAAGAAAAAAGTAGGCGTAACTTTTATTTTATGATGTCAAAAGAAAACAGGATTATTTCACAGTTACAAAATGACTCAGTGGAAAAGCTACATAGCAAGTGTCTCACATGCAAGCATCCTGCAGAATGTGAAAGCGAAAAGAAGTCCTCCACACATTCCCATCACTGGGAGACGGCAAGCTCTTTCAGGAACAGCAGTGCAGGGGGCATTACTTTTGCCAGGATTATGGGAAGTCGGCACTGAGAATACTGAACTCTTTAAATCACAGTTCCAAAAAAAATGTGACACCTCAAATGTTCCTTAAGTTCAACCAATGAGTGCTTTAAGTATAGAAATGAACTCAGCATTGTAATTTCAACTATCTCTTCATTTGAATACCAGAGGTATAAATATTTTAAAAGGCTCTGTATGTCTATTTTCAATAATTAGACTCTTAATTTGAACACAAAATAATAGCAAGGATTGACTGACACATAGCATATTATTTTTTGGAACAATAATGTGTTCTATGTGAAGGTAAGATACAATGACTGTCATTGCTAATTACATGAGGATGTTGAAGATTTTGTTCATCCTCATAATTTTCAAGGTCATCAGTCAGAGAACCCCAGTGGCACCAAGTGATTTGTCTGGGGCCACCTTCTGAGCCCGTGAGCAGGTGCAGACAATATTTTGTGCCCACAACACCAACCTACTAATTAATCTTCAGAAAGCAAGTCTTTCTGCAGCACTTCTAAGTAGCAAAATAGTTTTTTTAACATCTCCTATAGCATAAATCCAAATATTAGGAAAATATAAGTATTTATTAAACTATTTTATTAAGCAATCAAGATGATTTGCCAATGTTTTCTACCCTTGAGTCCGTATTTTAAAATAGTGTTTAAAATTTAACAAATTCAATACTGGGATAGGCACCACTAAAACACAAGCTTTTCAACGGGAAAAATACTGTAATTAAACTTTGAAAAATATGGGTATATATTTTACTCTTTTACAGTTGCAATAACTGTGCCAATTAAAACAATTACTTTTTATTCTATTATGAGTACATCCAAAAATCCAAATATAACTATTACAAATGTTCACATAACTCTTACTTTATTAAATGAGAAATATTTTAAAACTTTGTTAAGTTTTAATTGGCCTCATTAACCAATTATATCTATTCATTAGTAGAGGATATTCCTATATGGGTTTTTTTTTGGGGGGGGTCAAATTAAGTCCTTTGGTGATGAAAGGTCTGGAATAAGGAGATGTATTTCCATAGAAGAGAGGTCATGGTGATCTAATGCTCTCACCTATAAAATATAAACGAACAGATTTACGTTATTTTCAAGTAAAACTTAAATTTACCATGGAACTTTTAAAATTGCAAAACTCACTCTTTTGTTCCCGTAGTCCTTCAATGAGTTTAATGGACTAAATTTCTGGATCCAAGTGCTACTTGCAATTTATGATGAAAGGCATTGATTCGTTCCATCTGAACTGGCCAGTTCAAGATGCAGTGAGATTTAAACATTCCTCTTCGTAAACAGAGTGCGTGGTTCAGTTTATAATCTGGAATCTCTTCAAGAAAGATCAAGATAATGGAGTCCAGGTTTTGTTCAATAGCTTTCTGAACTGCTTGGTGCACCTTGAATCTAAAAAGAAAAAAAATTAAATTACATACCAACATACAGTTTTAATATCCAAAGGCTCTAAAACGTAAAATTTCCCTTAGAATTTACTTTAATCTGTCACTAAAAATCAGGTTATTTTTTTCTTAATTTTATTATTAAAATTATTTATGGGTAATAATGCTAGTGATATTTAAAATCTCATTTAAAAAACAATACTTAAGATGTCACAATATTCACCTACCTTTTGCATAATGGGTCTTTTAATAGATTCTGTGTTATAACAAAAATAGTTTTTCTGCTCCTTTTGATGCTATTGACAATAGCTTCAAGTTCAAGAACACCTGCCTGAAAGTCCCTTTCTTCCAGGCAAAACCTGAGTGTTTGGTCTTTTTCTTCCATTGGGGAGAATTGTTCCCAAACCCAATCCCTATCTTCATAGGCATGAATTATGTATGCTGCATAGTCAAACTGCTCTGGCTGTCTATCAATTTCTTTAAAACCAAGAGCTCGATGCACTAAAACATTCCAATAAAAAGATATCCTCCAGCCTTCCAAATGGATGAACAATGCCATAGAGATAAAAATCAATAGGAAGATGGTATTTATCATGAAAAGGAGTTCAAAGGGTGCGCTGTCTTTGCAGGGTGATATATCAAACAGCTTCACTGGAGAACCATGATATTGAGGTGGGGTATTGCAGAGGTAATGGCTTGATAGCTCAGAGATGTTGGTATGGGTACCATTGATCCAACTAACAAACCAGGCAATACTTTCACACGTACAATCAAACGGATTAAAGCTCATATCTAAATTACTCAGGTTCTTGAAAGCTGGCCCAAAAACATTCTTCTCAACTGATGTGATGAGATTCTTCTGGAGGTTCAGTGACCTTAACGATGCCTGGTTATCAAAGACGGACTGTGGAAGTATGTTTAAATTATTCAACCCTAAATTTATGCTCTTTAACTGAAATAAGTCCTTGAAGACATCTACTGGAATCTCATCAAAACCATTAGACTCTAAATTGAGGATGTGGAGGTGAGAAAGACCCTGTAGGAAATGAACAGGGCCACCAGGGTTTGCATGTTTCCAGAGCCGAGCTAAGTTGTTATGCTGCAAATCCAGAATTTCCAGGTTTTCCAGACCCTCCAAAAGGTCATCGTTTATGTTGGCGATGTTGTTGTTGCTTAGATCGAGGATGGTCAGGTTACGAAGAGGGTGAAAAGGCGAAGGGGGTCTGTCCACAATTTTAAGGGCCACCCTTCGGAGCATCAGCTGTCGAAGGCTTGGAACCAAAGTAAATGAGCTGCTAGTCAGTTGCAGGTACTTGTTGTAGGAAAGGTAGAGTTCTACGATACTGTCTAGACCTCTCCATTCCTCACCTGTGAGTTCTTGCCCTATTTCATTAATGCCAAGGTCAAGCACCTTTAGGCTGCCCAACCCAGCAAAGGCACTGCTCTCCAATTTTGAGATTTTATTTTTGCTTAGGTTGAGCATCAGTAAAGGAGAATGAACAAGTGATACAAAGGTTTCATTGGTTAAAGTTTGCAAACTTGTGAAGGAGTTAGATAGACTTAAATATTTCAGCTTGATGAGTCCCGTGAACATATCACTTTTTACACCTGGAAGGTTGTTATCATCCATGTTAAGATACTCCAAATTTTTTAGCCATTGAAAGGAAAAATTATCGATCTTGGGAAGCAAAGCAAGGGAATTGCTTTGTTTAGTAAAAGAGTGTCGCAAGTTCAGGTATCTCACATTTAAAAGCCCATGAAAGGAGTGAGAAGACAAGTGTCTTATATTATTATACTCCAGGAAGAGATACTTTAGATGTGGAAGCCAAGCAAAGGAATCATTGTCGATCGTATTTAAGTTGTTGTGGGAAAGATCAAGCACAGTGAGGTTCGTCAGCTTTAGTCCAGCAAATGTCACATTGCTTGCTCTGGACAGCTGGGTGCTGCTCAGGGACAGATTCTGAATGCTTGTGTTCGATAATTCCAGACAGAGCTGCTCTGTGAGATTGGACCCCAGCTGGACATTGTTCAGAGAGAGACCAAATAATTTCCCAATTGCGTGAAAACACCCTGGAGAGAACTAAAGGTGGAGGGGGGGAAAAGAGGTTAGTCAGTAAAACACAGTCGAGTTTGTATGACCTTTGCAAATCTTAAACACAGTCCATCACCCAGCCCCGCTTCCCTCCCATCACCGTGTCTGGATGTTCTCTCTGTCCCTGTAATGCACAGCCCCTTTCTCTGTACCTGTCACCTGTGCCCTGCCCAGCCCCTCGCCTCACCTGGCCACCAGCGAACTTCTACTCAGCATTCACATCTCAACTTCGAAGTCACTTCTTCCGGGCTTTCCCGGACCCTCAGTCTAGGCGATGTCTCTTAGTACTTTTCCTTCCTCACCCCGACATATTAATGACATAGCTGTCATTAATAAACTATTTGTCAGGCCAGCCTTCTGGCAGAGCCTGTTTCTGTCTTGGGGACCACTGCTCTCACTGAACGTTGTGGAAGGAATGGCTGGATTTTATTTTTGAAATAAAAATGCCCGTTTTCCCTTCTGTAACTCTAAGTCCTTGCCACCCTCTTTGTCTTTCCACCACGGTTTTCTCCTGACTCATTTCATTACAGGGTTTCCAGCTTTCTTCCTCTCTGCCCTCATTTCCTCACCAGAAGCTTTGGCTGCGTTGGGATTCAGCGAGGCCACAAGAGAGCAGAAAGCAAGAGAGACAGAGTCCAGAAAGGAGAGTAGCCGGTTCCTGGCAGCTAAACACCAGAAGAGCAAAGAGGCTCTGATCTCTCCTGTGTTATCTGTGAGTGTCGGGGCTAGCGGGAGAAAAGACAGGAATGTGCAAGAAAGTGGGCTTTCTCGCAAGTAAAGTAAGTTGAATTGCAAAGCAGGAAATTAATTAACTAAGTAACTAGGATAAATTTATATGGTAGGATTATTTTGCAGCAACTAAAATTAAGTTTTTGGATACTTCTTGATGACATGGAGGATGTTCATGATATGCTGCCTTTAAATGGCAGGATACACTGTCATCCTCAAACACATGAGGTAGCACAACTGCTACAAACAGTCTCTGGTCTAACGCGGCCAGGAACCAGCTCTGCCGCCAGGCGGTCCCCTGGGAGGCTGTAAACAGGTTCCTCAGCCTTAATCCCAACTTCCTCTTGAGTAAAATGATGAGGAATAAGTTGGTTACAGGACTGTATAAAAATACAAATAAATAACTTGTCACAGTGCCTGATACACAGTTAATCACTTTATGAATTTAAGCTCTTGGGCTTATTACTATTATTTGGAAAAAAGTTGGAGATAAACATACTCAAATGCCAACACTGCTGGTCTCTGGATTGTGGGTTTTGCATGGTTTTTATTACCCATCCCCCATCATTTATATGGTTTATAAGATTGCTACACTAAATATTCTAAACAAAAAAAATGCTGTTCAACAATTGACATGAGTCGCTTGCATAAAATATTTAATTATTATCAGAATAATTTTATACACTCTCTATTTTTATGTCTGAAAGTTAATACGGCTTTATGAAGTCTGACTTAATTTAGGATTTCTAATATCCTTATTCCCAGCCTGGAAAAAGCAGAATACAGATATATTTGCACATGAAAACAGTTAACAAATCAGAGATCATTGATCCCAAAGAGAAGGTTCGTTAGTGTCTGCTCCATTAGAGGGAGGTTTTATAATCATCTAGTGCTCGTTGTCTACTGAGCACTTCCATGTCAGACCTAATGCTCCTTTTTTTTCTTTTTTCTTTTTTTACCACCCAGCCCTGTGAAGTGATGTCTATTATTAGACCAACTTTAAAACTGGGGGACTGGAGCAGAGAGAACCTGAATAATTTGCCTGATTACACATTTACGAAAAGATAAAGCCAAGCTGGGGAGGCAACTAACTCAGCCCTCTGGCCTGTGCGTTCAAACATCACCCTGCGTTAGTCCTTTCAGAGACTTTGTATGATCGGTGGTATTCTTTCTACTTTACATGTGAGGAAACTGAGACCCAGAGAGGGTAGGTTCCCCAAGGCGAATGCACTGGTCTGTCATGGAACGAGGGTTCTAACCCACTTGTGTCGGACAGCGGAGCCCAGCTACTAAAGGCACCAAACTCCTTTTCCTGTGAGGATGACAGCAGTGGCCACGCAGACAGCACGAAGGCCTGCGGAAAGCATGACAATGGCATCCCCTCTTTATGCGGAGATTTTTAGATTGTTCTCCATGGGAACTAGCGACTGCCCGCAGGCGAAGGCAGAACACAACGTAATTTTACACACTTCTTACCTCTTTAATTGGATTTGACGACAACTCTAATTTTTTTAAAGAAGAATTGCCAAGGAAATCAAGTTCTTCATGTCTTAGTACTTTAATTTTATTATTTGATAATAGAAGTTCTTGAAGATTTTCCAGTTGGAGCTCAGTCCCTAGTTTAGTAGATGGTAAACCATTATGAGACAGATCTAATTTGATTAAATTCTGGGAGAAAAAAAAATATGTATATAAGTTAGAGTTCTGCCATCAAAAATAATTCTCTAAATGTATGTGAATTTTATAACTAACTCAAAGGCAAAATGTCACCTCACTATTTTTCTATAGCAAACTGAGAGTAGGAATAATAAAAATCTTTGTTGTGACTGAAAATATTATTGTTGCAAGGACTTAGATTCTTATATCAAGAAACACTTTATTTCTCTGACCAAAATAAAAAGCCTGAAGCTTATTTATTCATGACACAAGGAATAGTATGTTTTGACTTATTTATAATAAACATTTATTTATGATATAAGAAATATTCACATGACTTACCAAACATATAGTGTCATGTGTCAGCTTTGACACTAAACAACAGGAAAAAGAAATGTTTTCCTAAAAAGTATGAGTAGAACTTTGTCATCCAGGAAATCCTAAGAGGAATTTTATATTGAGAAAGATCAAGAGCTGTGTCAAGTTCTACCATGGCCAGCAGAGTATATTAATTTTTGTTTGTTTTTTTCAGTGTTGTGGGATGTTTTTTCACCCTATGTTGTTTTTGAACATGTAAGCTTCCAACTCAAGTAAAAGATAAGGACAAGTTTATATGTGTTAGGGCAAAAATCTTATGTCTTTTAATGAGAACAAGACATTTATTTATGTTTTAAAAATAAAAATAACATTTTTCCAATGATTTCTCTAGCCAGATTTTGAGGCCTTTGGGTCCAAAGACATGTGGTCCACATCTGAATCTAAGAAGACACAAGAAGGAATTTCAAGTGGCTTCTAAGCAAATCGTTTTATAAATGTTTCTAAACGTAATTAAATATGTTTGCTGTGCTTGTCATCTGATGTCAATTTAATGACCAGTTTGTTATAAGTCCTTACAACAACAATGAAAAAGAGTTTTGAAAATAACTTTGGCTCAGGAAAAGCATTATGGTCTCAAATTTAGAGATAATAAATACAGGGTGAGGCAATAGTAGGTTTACAGTTGTGAGTATGTAAGACACAGCCTACTCTTATATTATTATTGATTAATTATTGTATCATTTTCTATAAAAACAACTGTAAAACTATGTCTGCCCCACACTGTACATTTTTTTATAGACCTGAAATTCAAGCAAAGTACTGAAAAAAATTGTAAGTAGTCACTGGAAAAGCAATACTGTGAGGAGATTTCTAAAATCAAGGGTAGGTAACTCTTAGTTGAACACCTTATCATGTATCAATGTGTTAACCTTATTTAAGTCAGAGTTTGGACTTGACATCTCTTTTTCATTATTTCATGTCCTAAATCAGCAGTTTTGAGAGTTTATTTTGCTGTGTTCCTCATGGGATGTTCTGCTTGATCTCTGATCTCTACCTTGTGTATCTAAAAAAGTTCTATTTCTAGTGGGAGGATGCAAGAGAGGCAGGGTTCTTTAAAATTAAGGTTGAACCTGATTTAAGATGATATTTTCTCTTTTGAAAACATTCCCAATCATTACGGCAGAATTTATGTGTTGGTCTTCTCACCAGCCCCCAAATCCCAATTTAGGTAGACCAGATTTCTCATTCTTTACTTGGATATCTAGATATTAAGCTTAAGGATAAATACATGACTTGATAACTTAATATTAGATAACATTTTTTTCATTTCCTGTATGAAAATGCATTTATCTTACCTTCAGGTTTTTAAAGGGATTATTTTGAATTTTCTGGATTGAGTTGGACCTAAGATGGAGTTCAATCAAATTCAGGCAGAATTTAAAGGTTTTATCAGAAAGTTGAGATAGCTCATTGTGTTCGATGTTTAAAATTTCCAACAAGGGGAGTTTTTGGCATAATTCTGGCTCCAGTTTTGAGATAGAGTTAAATCCTCCATCCAAGATAGTAAGTTGGCTGTATCTTGTAAAATTGGCAGGTGGTAATTTTTTGAGCTGATTGTGGGTAAGGTTCAACACTGTTATGTTTGCCGGCAGGTCATCAGGTATTTGAGTCAGCTTCAGATGACTGCAGTCGGCTACTTCATGCCAAACAGCACATCTGTTGGCAGAAGACGCACACAGTGTCCAAAAGGGCAACAGCCCCAAAAAGCAGGAGATAGGATGCAGCAGACTCCGGCTCATGATTTTGTCCTACAAAAGAAATGTTAAAAAGCAATACACAACATTAAGAACACACATTTTCACATGCGTTGGTACATTCCTTGTAAAAAACATAACCAAATGTGACTGTGCATGATTTGTGTTTACTATAACTTTTAGGATATACAAGTAGAATATCGTATGGAAGTAATTCAAAGGGCACAGGAAGTACAAAATGGACCATATAAACGCCTCCTCCACGCTCCATCTCCACCCAGTGTCAATGATCTAAGGTGGCCTCTTGACAGTTTCTGTTTTAGATCCTCATGGTCACCTTCACGAACCTAAGTAATATGCTTGTGCTACTATTTCTTCATTTACTGACTTTAAGTATTTTCTTCCCACTATAAAGATAAGAACTTAATTATTTTCTTTCATCAATGTCTTCATAATTTTTCTTTAGTTATTTTTAATTTAATTTAATCTACTGTTACAATTATAATTTTAAAGACTATCCTTAAAGCTCTACTTATTGATCAACCAACTTGAGAAAAACATCCTCAAGCTACACCGTGTGATACGGGAAATGTGCACCCTGTCTTCTCTAGCACTTCTTTCTTCCTGGCATTTCCTAAAACTATCAGCTGCAAACTTGCGTGATATTGTCAAGATAGAAAACCTTAGCATTTATCCTAAGACTATGGTAAGTCAGATGTACTTGGTCTACATCCATTTGTAAAATCTGAAGTCAACAAATAAACAAATATCATTCACTATTTTATGATTATATAAACGAACATTCACTGCAGAATCAATAAGACTTAGAGAAACACGGTCAGTAAGAGAACAAACCCTGGAATCCCTGCTCTGAGCTCTGATCCTGGGGCCTCTGCTTTGTCGCCTCTAGCAGGTTAATTCATTTCTCAGGGCTTAGTGTCCTCATCTTGTCAGTAGATCATCAGAGTAGCTTCTCTGTGGGTTGTCATGAAGATTAAAAGAGATAAGTCTTGAAGTACCTGGAATAAAGCAGTATTTAATGATATTACTATTTTTATTAATAAATATAATAATCCATGATTTATAAAGCGGTCATTACAACTACTTCTTATTTTGTGAACTTTTTACTTTATAAAGAAAAATCTATGCAAATGAACAATATCACGTGGCAATCGCAGCTAGCTGTTAAACAAGGAGGGAAGAGCAGAGGAGAGCCAAGCACGTAAAATAATTGAAATTCAAGGAACTTCATGGATGGTTAGAGAGAGTTGAGAAGCTCCTTGCTAACCCTATCTTGGTTAAGCAGAGTGCTTCGGTACTGATCTGGGCTGTCTTCACAGGCTGGGGAGCAGCCAGCATCTTCACTGAATAACTGCAACTGAGATTCATTCAAGGAGGCCTGATTCCTTTTAAGGAGCTCTGTTTCTCAATTTTACTTTAAAGAATGAAAAGAAAGTCTTGGGTCATGAGGCATCCATGGGTCATTTCACCCTACTACTTGGCCTAAAAGAGTGAAATTAATAAATGTAAGCACTTGCTAATACACCGTTCACAAAGTCCAAGGCCTTTAAAAGCTTTAATAAGAATCTTTTACATACTGTATACAAAATTGCTTAGGAAACATTGTAGAAGCTACTTTGATTCTTATGTAAAATTCTTGTCATTGTTACTAATTCCATACCTTCATGATTGATATTTTAAACGGATGATTTGGGGAGTCCTTTCCTGTAAAGAGTGTGCATTGCTATCTTCAGTTCAATGTTTAATAGAATTTTTCTTTTGATGTACAATTTGCATACAATGAAAAGCACATATCTGAGCGCACATTACCTGAGTTCTGACACGTGCACACGCCTGTGTAATCCAAACTCTAAAGAGTTTCCCACCCCTTTCTGGTTCATTCCATCTCGCATCTCACAGAGACGACCATTGCTCTGATTTTTTTTCTGCTATAGATTATTTTAAAACCTCATATCACTGGCATCATGTTCACTGTATTTAAAAAAATAAAAAGGCTTCTAAGCATTTTTAAAGCTCCACACAATTTTATATACACAGGCTGGGGGCAACATCACAGCCCAAGCCGATGAGGATGCCTCTTACCAAGTCACTCAGGTCTGTAGAGAGTATGGGGCTGAAAAGATGCTCCCTGGAAATCAGGGACCAGCTCCCTACCCCCAGCTCTCTCAGATTCTCCCAAACCTCTCCTCCCAGCCCTCCTGCTGTTTACAAACTCACAGGTACCACTCCTTCAGCATGTCCTTCTCCTTGTCTAGGTGACTTTTGCCTTTTCTGGAAGGGCTCGAGGTCGGGGTAGAACTACCCTTGTCCCCCGATAGTCACAGGCCGGTTCCAGGACCCTCCCAGCACCCGCATCCAGGATGCTCAAGTCCCTTAACTAGAATGGCACAGTATTTGCATAAAACCTAGGCAACCCTCCCATATATTTAAATCATCTCTAGGCTGCTGATAACACCTAAAACAATGTCAATAGTTGTTATAATATGTCGTTTAGGAAATAACGGCAAGACAAAAAAGTCTGTGCATGTTCAGTGCAGACGCAACCGTCATAAGCCAACTACACAGTACAGGTCAGCAACCACATGACATTTTTTTCCTAATAATTTTCACCTGCGGTTGACTCCACAGATGCAGAACCTGTGGATGGATACTAAGGGCCGACTATGCTGAGGGGAACAAGTCCATTTACAGATCATATCCCTGAGAGACTGAAAAACATTCCCAGATCTGAAGGTATATTCCCTCGGAAGGAAGACTCATCAAGCGCTAGGTAGGTGAGGTAAAAAGGAAAAATATACAGAGAGAAACCGATGAAAGGTAAGAATTGTGACCATTCACACACACACACACACACACACACACACACACACACACACACACCCCTAAAACCTTCTCAGAAAATGTATGATCAGTTACTTCCAAAGAAAAGATCCTGATTGATATAAAACTTTCCATCAGCCGCTAGAAAACAATAACGATAAGTTTTCCAAATGTTCAGGAGAAATTATTTTGAACCTAAAAATTTCATTTTGAGATGAACAACGAAAGGTAAGGTGGGGAAACATTTTGAGATATGCAAAGATTCAGTAAATTTGTAACTGTAACCTGTAGGAAAAAAGTCATTCTAAGATGTGCTTCGGTAAAACAAACAAACAAAATACAGTTTGAGGGTGAAATGAGAGTGAAGAATGAGCTGCTGTTAAATGAGACGTAGTAAAAACAAAGAAAGCCAGGAAGAAATGAAAAACAGCAGTTTTGGAAAATCCTTCAGGGAACACTGGGTTAAATTTCTTTGCCCAGACCAGCGCCACCATGCACAGCGGTGAGGGTGCAGAATCCGGAGCCCCAGCTACTTAGACCTACCACCAGTTACACTTTGGCTTATACAATTTGGTTTGTAAACTTTACATTTCTTTCCTCTAAATTTATATAGATACACTGTACCCAGACACATGCCAACACAAAATCACACTGTAAATCATACTAGTTCTTGAAACTAGTACTGGCCAAGGCTGACTCTGTCTCCCTCTGACTTAACCCACATCTGCCTGGGCTCATTTCTGATCCTCTCATACATGCAAATGTCTTTCCACTTCTCACCTTCATCCTTGTCCTTTATTAGGCCAAAGAAAGCCACGTTCTTACTCCTAGGAACAGCTGAAGTGTTTCTCCTCAAGCACATTATCGTAAAGTGTCAGCTCCTGTCTCCTCTCCAGCCAAGAAAACCGAGGAAAGGAGACAGCTCCTTTGAGCTCACAGGGCTTCGTATCTTTAAGACAAAGTTGTGCCTTTTTTTTTTAAGGTTGTTGCACAATGATTTCCAAAGCTACCTTAACGTATTTGTCTAGTTATGGATCTCTGCAAAAGACACACAAATTTTTTTTAATTCCTCTATAAAATGTTTTATCAGTTTAATTAGAAATTGTTGCTATTATTTGTACTCTGATTTATGATACACTTCTTCCCTACCTATACTATCTGCCTTCTCTGACGAGATTTCAAGCACTAGATTAAAGAAAGACCAAAGAATGCCAAAACTGACATGCCTTCTAGCTTCACCCACCATGAGAGGTCCCATCCCAGCAGGAATTTAAAATCTATACCTTCATTTACCCTGATGGCAGCGTTTCTTTTTCTCACCAGTCCAAATCCAGTCGTGTTCTTCAGAGGTGCATGGCAGCTTTGCTGCAATCTCGAAAGTGAAAGTAAAGTTTTGTGTTTTGTTTTGTTTTGTTTTTTAAACCTTTTATAGTTGGTGCACTCTAAGAAGGGCACAGGATACAAAATCTCGGCAAGGGGCATCTTAAATAGCTTCTTAAAAATGTCTTCTCTTTTTCTTCTTCAGGTGCAGTCCCCTGGGTTTCATCAAAAGGGTCACAGATTTAGCAACAGAGAAAGTTCAAAGAGCGGGACTTCACCTAGCTGTGGGCAGGGCCAGGACCCAGAAGTTAATGAGGATCTGACTGAGAATGAATTCCTCTTTTGTTAACTAAAGGCTGATGCAAAACTGTCAGAGCTGAGCAGTGTGTGGTCAGAGGGACAGAAAAAAACCTCAGTCCCTAATCAAAGCTAATGACTCATTTCTCTGATCTGGCCCTCCCTTCTTGGCCACACGGTAAGAGAAGTAAATGCAGACACTAACACCTTGATCATGGAAGAGACCAAGTTTCACAGTTGAGAAGGAGCAGGTGCTGGCAAAGCCAAGAGTCTGCCCAAGGCAGGTCGTTCTGCTTTCTGCAGTCAGAACCTGCTAGGGAACATGTAGATGCACTCTGAGAAAGTTCCAGTTCGCTGTTTAGTCTTCCATTCACTTTACTGACTCCAACTAGTTAAAGGAATGCTCTTGTCAAGAAAAGAATACACTTTTTATTGTGGACATGATACAATATTGTAACTGTCAATATCAGGTAAGACATAACAATTGGGATGGCAGAGATCACCAAATTCAACTCCTCAGTCTGAGAAATGAGGAAAATGAAACCTAGTGAGATCAGACACACCACAAGTTCCCATAATGCATCACACAAACAAATACTAAAATAGCCTGGGACAGTTGAAACTTGTCACTAGCTTGACTTGGCCAGAGAATTAAGAGCAAGAAATAAATTTGTGTCAGGGTGTAAAATGTCCACTCCTGAGCCGCAGACTTAACTATTGGGTATTTAAAAGGGTCAATATTGTGCATAGGTTTAATTTAGAGTGACTCTTAAGAATTTTTGAAATAAACCTTTCCTCAGAGGAACAAAGAGATCAGGTCAGCCAATCCTCCCAGTGTTAGCTGGGAGCCAAAGTAAGACTCTATCTCTTCATTATTAAAACATTTCATAGGTTTATAATGTGCTGAATGTATTATGGACTGAAATAAATAGTTAGATTGACCGCAGAGCATTAGATGTATCTAAACAGTCATTCTGAACTGTGCTCGTGGGTTTCCCTTCACAGCCACCGATCAGAAAGGACATTGTCTTGCTCTGAATTGTCTGAAATTCTAGAAGGTGTTTCTTTCTTCTTTTTGAACTCTTTCCCTAAAGCGAAGGTACAATGCCTCTTACCAATGCCACTTCCACTTCTGCTCATAAAGTTGCAGGGGGTTTAAACTAAGCTCAACCAGACTGCAAACTCAGCAAGTGCATTAATGAAAGAGGAACCACCGCTGTGCCTTTCCTACAACTGTCACGTGTGTCAGCTGAGCAGGGCTGAATCTGAACGTCCTCTCTGAAAAAGTAGCCCACATTTAAGACACAGAATTGCTGGTTTAACCTGAAATTTTTCTTATTTATTTTTTGTAACTTTACAAGGCATTTGAAAAGAGGTGATAGCCTTCTGTCTAAGTCAACCTGTGAAGTGGGTTCGCGTGAATGTTAACATTCCCATGAC